CAGTTAGGATTTGGAAAGACAGATGCTGGTGCTCAATTGACTTTCTCACATGTATACAGTCCAGCACAGGGGACAGTCTCACCCACAGAGGGAACATCCCCTCACCTCATTCAATCCAATTTGGAAACCACCTCACAAATACTGAAAGAGGCTATCCTAAAATATGCACAGCCACAGAACAAAGGCAGAAAGCCAAGAGGCAGCTTCATTGCTCTCAAGAGTTCATAGACTCTTTTGGGACACCTTCAGTGTTAATTTAACTAGTGTAAATATTGTTTTGTTAGGGCAAAACCACTTTCCGTCAATACTTCCTTTGGCCAGCCACTTCCCTGTGACTCTCAGCTTACATTATTTGATAGTTCGGAGGTGGGTGTGGGGGGGGGGTCACAGATTTTTTTTCTTTTAACAATGTCAATTTTATCATTTCTTGTAAAATGCATCTGATTGTAGGTTTTGTTTTCTTCTTTATTTTTTAAAACTATACTTTATACCAGTGCCAGTTTCCCTTGCCTCTCCTCCTCTGTCCCCCCCTCCCCTCATCCCACACCCACTCCTCAGGCCTCCCATGGGGAGTCAACAAAGTCTCTTACATATCTTTGAGGCAGGACCAAGTCCCTCCCTCCTGTGTCTAGGTTGAGTAAGGTATCCCTCCATAGGGAATAGGCTCCAAAAGGCCCGTTTATGCACTAGGGATAAATCTTAGTCCCATTCCAAGTGGCCCCCAAAACTACCCAAGCCATACAAGTGTCACCCATATTTAAAGGGCCTACTAGTTTGGTCCTAGGCAGGTTCCCTAGCTGTCAGTCTGAAGTCAGTGAGCTCCCACTAGCTCAGATCAGCTGTTTCTGTGGATTTCCCCCATCATACCCCTGCCTCTCTTCCACCAGAGGCAAGGAGCTCAGCCCAGTGATTAGCTCTGGATCTCTACATCTGCTTCAATCAATTACTGGATGAAGGTTCTATGATGACAATTAAAATAGACACCAATCTCATTATCGAGGAAGGCCAGTTCAGGCGCCCTCTCCGCTATTGCTAGAAGTCTTGGCTAGGGTCATCCTTGTGGATTCCAGGGAATTTCGCTAGTGCCAGTAGAAACAGATACTTTTACATTTAAAGCAAACATGACAGTAAAGTTGAAAAATCTGGGAAGTTTTGGGTTAAAAACCTGAAAGGTCAAGCAAAAATGGGAAGTTCTTAGTTTCAAAGAACCTTTCACTTTGTAATGTATGAGCCTGGGAAGGATGCTTTCCTCAGAGCCTGAGAAGATCTTCCCAGGAAAAGCATCTAGTTTTATGTCTTCAAAGTGTTCTTCACTTTTAATAAAACTGAGACTGCCTGCACTTAATTAATTAAATGTCAAATTCCAATATAATTATTTTATGAATAATTATATTAGCTGTCTTATTTTTTAATCACCATATCACTTTTCAATATTGATGACAATCTTAAATCTATGATTTTGATTCATGGACTTTATATCATTCTCTAAAAATTTTGGTAGGGAATAAAATATTTTTTAAATAATTCTTTCCTTAGTATGGCAAATTTCATCTCATTGTATGGCATATAGAATTCTATTGCTGAAGTCTCTAGTGTGGGTGCTATTAATTGATTATAATAAGAAATGCATGTCAATAGTTGTACTCATTTATGTTTACAAGAATGCATAGTCTTTGGGAAATCACAAAGCATTCTATGGCTATTTTGAATAAAAAAAACTATTTTAACATTTCTACAATCTAAAAATAAAATATAAAATATAGTAGAAACCTTAAAAATAGAAAATCCATCTAATATATAAATATGTCCATTTGTTAATTAATTATATAAACATATGCTCTTATATAACTTGAATAACACAGTGTAGAAAAATATGTATTGTTTATTTTGTTGTTGTTTTTTAAGTATCACAGGAAATGTTTTAGTGTGTAAATATGCACTCAGCAATCCTCCACAAAGTCCATAGTTTTGGCAGTAAAGTGTTTGTTATTACAATATGTTATTTGCCTGGTGGGTTGAGATGATTGGACCACAGGCCAGAGCTGATGTAGATTATGGTATCAACTTCTAGGTAAGCCAGTTAGCTTTGCTGTTTCACCAACACACAAGGGGTCTAAATGACTTAGAAAGAAAATGTGAATGTATTACTGTGAGTTTACTCTCTACCAGTAAAAAGAAAACCCAAACAAATAAAACAACAACAACAGAAGCCCAAGACCTACATTTATACCAATCCCGGACATTAGTGTCAGGATAACAAGAAACAGAAAGCAATCCGGCCCTCTACATCCAAAGCCAGGGTGCTATGGAGTTGTCCCCTTCATAGTGCTGTGTGATGACCTGCCTTTTCTTTTTATAGTCACAATCGAGGGGCTCCAGCTGACAACCTGCCTGAAATTATCGCAGGCCTGGTGAGAAGCACCTGAGGAGAACAGGAATGTTTTCACTTCACGTGGAACCCATTAGCAAATCACTGCTGTTCTGTAAATTACCATGCTGCTTAATTCTCAGCCTGAGAACCTACTTACCCTCCTCATAAAAACTGCCAATGGGAGGGCTCTCACAGTAAAGAGCCTGTATTTTAAACAAAGCATTTCCTAGAACTCAGAGACTGTGAGACGGCATTTCTCAGGTGGGAACAAGACAAATACTCTCTCACTGCGAAAACAGTGTATATATTCTGGGAAAGTTAGATTTTCATTGACTGCTTGGAGACCATTTGTGGTGAGTGTGTAGAGAATTCTGGGGTTGAAGAAAAGAAGCTAAGTGTTAGTTGTTTGAAAGAAAAAAGGAGACAATATTGGAAATCAGAGGCACCTGAGACTGAGTTTTCTATCTTCAAAATTGCTTCACAAATTCTCCTCAACCTGAACAGGACACAAGGCTAGGGACAAATGAGCCTGAGGATTCCAAGTTTTGCTTAGAATGCCATTCTGATCAGAAGTAGCTCAGGCTTTTCTTCTTAGGTTGAGGTAAGAGGCACACACTAAAGAGAAAAGGTGGCCTTTTGTTCACCAGAGTGACTAACGGGATCATACTCACATCACTGAAAACGTGGCAGTGTGTACTCAAGAACTAGTGTGGCTTGCTTTCTCCAAAAGTGCCAGGATAATGGGACTGAGCGGGTTCCTTTCTTTTTGATAGCAACAAGAGAAAAAGGCCAAGGCAATGCCTTAGAAAATGATGCCTGAACGCAGCTGTCCGTAAAAGGAGAGCTTGGAAACACAAGTGACAGGTCTTCATCAAGCCCTCTCACTAAGTAAATCACGTACACCTTATGGGGCTTTTATGATCAAACTATTAACACCCCCCCCCCGGATTCAAAGGCCAGAGAGCAGAACACTTAAAAGTTATAGCAAATATTTATCAGGAGAATATTACTATTATATCATATTATGTTAATATTATACATCAGGAATTATTTATTCAGGAGAATGGGGAAGATGTGGCATTGATCTTCCAGGAAAGGGTTAAAGGACATCATCTGTTCCATTTTGAAGATGAGTAGACTAGGAAGTGGTTTTTAACATTTTTTTTTCAGCCTTTCTGAACAACTAATCTTGTAACTACAGAATCAGAAAATACGTTAAGCATTTTCTGTTTATCTAATTGTAATGCATAACTACTAGCATCCTGATACGAGAAAGATGAGTTGTTTACTACACACAGGCATCCTGAAATCACTAGGGCTTGGTTCTCGTGTCTATCAAAAGTTACTGAGGACTTACTGCCTAGATGGCAGCCATAAACAATATTGATAAGAAGGAACCTAGACAATGCTCTCGAAACACAGACGATGACTTGGGAGGTGAAGCCAGATTCATAAAGATAACCTACTTAGCATTATGTGAGTCAACTGAAAACATTTTCGGATTTTGAAGCTCTGCTATATTTTCATTTAATATGGAATTGGATAAGTGCGGGGCAATGTGATTAAGAATGTGAGGCACAATTCTAGCCTCAACTGTAAATCTACAGGCTTGGTGATCCCAGAGTGAGAGCAGTGAAGAGTCAAGTAAGGGCCCCTGCTGTTGGGTGAAAACCAAGGGTGCACTGATGTTGTAATACAGCTAAGAGATGACAGCTAGAGATTCATTTTCTGTCTGAAGAACTTGGCTTACGATGCAGAGAAATACTTAGCTCTGGTCTCAAAAGAGGACAAAGGACCTTCACATTGCCAAAGAGAAGCCTGATGAGAAAGGATCCCTGAAAGGAGTCACAGGATACAAGGTTGCTTAGCGTCTTTAGAGACACCTTTTGTTCGAGTTCTGATAGTCTTCATTTTAAAAGATAATACCGTTTTGTATATAAAACTGCTTTAGTAAAGAAACCTTGAAACATACCACTGTTATTCAGAACTAAAATGGTGCATAAGACAAATTAAATTTCACGAAGCAGTTCTGGGAAACTTGGAATTTTATACTCAAAAAGTTACCTACTTTTCTTATGTCTGTTTCTGTGGTGAATGCAGATGTAGGAAAATTTTGCATATTTCAAATAATGCTAGCTAATTTCCAAGCATTTGAAGACTTGCTGCACATTTTCCATCTTTTACTTACATATCCACATATTCATAATTATAGAACTCTTGTTCATCAAGATCACTGGGATTATACTTCAAACTACATGTGACTTTTCTAATGATCTTTTAAGGAATATTTGGACCAGGCATTTGTCATACTGTGGATACAATCTGTGTTCTTTGGCAACTTATTATTAATGTAAAAATGAGATTCCATATTGGTCTTTACACATGTAAGTCATTCACAGGAATAACATGAAACTAAAAGTGACCAGTGATGAGCAATTGCTAATTTCCAAGAGTCTGAATATGGGAATGTGCATACTTTTTTTAAAAAACAAATAAATCTGCATTTTATTCACATGAGTTTCCTTTGAAATAAAGACTGGAATAGTTAAAATCGGATAATGTTTGCAACTGACAATCATATAAAACTTGTCTTGGCTCTTCCTAACCACCACGCTTTTTCCATTTTCAGCCACTGAAGAGCAAGAAAATGAATCTGTGCCTCTGTCCTTAAGACCAGACATCTTAAGTAAGTCACAGTTAGATGACTGCCCAAGGGACTCAGGCTGTTATATCTCATCAGAAAACTCAGACAATGGCAAAGAGGACCTGGAGTCAGAAAATCTGCCTGACATGGTACAGAAGATTGCCATCACAGAGCCCAGTAACTAAACACACATTCACATCTCTACATCTACAGCAGAATTCCATTCGAACTCTTCATCTGCTAGAAGATCAAACAGAAGTGTTCCAAATGCATCCCAAAGTACAAAGAAAGTGTTTTAATATGAATGATTGCAGATACAAATTTATTTCTCTAAATTCCCAATGAGTGTTCATAAAATATATATTTGTTAAATACTATATGTTAAAATTCATCTGTCAAAAAAAGAGTCCCTCTGTCTATACTAAAAAAAAAAAAAAAAAAAAAAAAAAAAAAAAAAAAAAGATACAATGCAACATACCTTGCCTGTGCAAGGGAATGGGGTACTTACATTTTTTTAAGTGTAAAAATATAGTCAGGAAAACTGTGTATTTATATACATATTTATAAAAAACACTCATTTTTTAATTGCTTGAAATTGTAGGCTGAGATCAGATACTTTGTTCTGTTCAAAGGTGGAGTTTTAGTAACAATTTTCTTCACTCTGTTACTTGGTAAGCAGTTAGTTAAATATATACTTCATGTTTTGACTTAGTAAAAATAATTATAGAGATGTTTTATTTTAAATGTAAATATTTTTTAAACTTTTCTCAGCCCTAATAATAATAAAATAAACCGTGTATATACTGTATCTGCTGGACTAAAGTTATTAAAGGTATTTAAATATTTATTATACAGAAAGTTTCTATTAGACCATGTTTTCGGTTAAGAAAGTATACTGATTCCCAAATTATCTCCTAAACCCAGATCCACGTTACTGAACTCCTGGGTGCTCCCTATTTCTGTTTGACATACTCAAACACTTCATTGTTACTAAAAAGTTGTTCCTCCTATTTTCTTTATACCTCACCATTTTTTTTAAACCAATAACTAGTCACTGAAAAGGAAAGGTATTTCCTTCTTTGGTTTGCCTTTATCTTCCTCAGCCAAATTCACAAATGTGGATACTACCTCTCAAAAGTCTTCTAACATCCCATCCATTGCCAGAGTTTTCTGCTATCACATTTCAGACTCGTGTGGAATGTTGTAATGTCTTTCCAATAGATAACCCATCTTCAAATCCCTACATGGTCTCTAAAAAAAAAAAAAAAAAATCTTCACGACTCAAATAAAATCATCCTCCTTGCTTGCAACATCTGATGGCCTCTCATTAGCTCTAGCATAACATGTAAATATATGTAAGTCCCTTACCAGTGACTTTGAACCTACCTTGTGAGTCTTCTCTCTGAACTCACCTTTCAGTGTATAATCTACTCCCAGACTTCCAGATCCACTATTCCCTCCATGACTCTCCATGCGTGAGGTCTATTTTCAATGCCTAGCCTGACAACTGTTTGTATCACAGATAATATAAAACCAGAGACAGATATTGGGGTTCAAGCTTCAAGCTGGGAGATCAGAAAAGTAAAGCAGCCAAGCCACTAGCTCTTACCAAAGCTGAAATGGCCATCCTGCCTCCATGAATTCTCAGACGGCAACGCAGACTGCACTGCTCTCCAGTAAGTCTCAGACTGCAATCCGTTAGTTTCTGTCTCCTCCTGCCTTGCATCCCAGTCACATCACTGCTGCCTCCACCTCCCGAGTCCTGGGATTAAAGGTGTGTACCACACTGCCTGGCCTCTATGGCTAGCTAGAATGGCTGCTGGGATTAAAGGTGTGTACCACCACACTGCCTGGCCTCTATGGCTGAGGTCACCTTTGCATTTTGATCTCCAATGGCTTTATTAAACCATATATAATACGTCTCCACATTTTTCATCCCTTTTTTATGTCATCAAACTACCAAAAAAAAAAAAAAAAAAAAAAAAGGAAGAAAACTATGCCAAAGTTTTATAAAGTGTTGTGCTTTCTTTGTGTTTTCACCCTTGTACATAGTTGGTTACAAAAATCCTCTGTTTATTAACATGATAGCTGCCTTTATACAAGGATGTGATCTCCTTATGACAGAATTTATTTGCTTAGGCTTTTAACAGGAAAGTCTGCCCAGGAGGAACACTTAGAAAATATTTCCTAGAGGTTATTTATTTATTTATTTATTTTTTATTTTTGGAGCATGGTGATTATTTCTGATGTGTAACTGTTACATCATTCTTACCGACCTACAGGTGAACACCTCCAAATTATCTAAAACCTTTGTTGTTGATGTTTTTGTTTTTCGAGACAGTGCTTCTCTGTAGCTTTGGATCCTGTCCTAGAATTCTCTCTGTAGACCAGATTGGCCTTGAACTCACAGAAATCTGCCTGCCTCTGCTCCCTGAGTGCTGGCATTAAAGGCCTGTACCATCACAGCCCAGTGTAGCTAAAAGTTTTAAAGAAAATGTGGAGTTGGAAAGATGGCTCAGTGTTTAAGAGCACTTGCTCCTCAATCATGAGATATGGAGATTGGATCCCAGAAACCAAGTAGGTGGCTCACAAACATTTGTAACTCCAGCTCCAAGTGACCAGAGAGAGACCCTCTTCTGCCACCATGAAACTCTCACACACATGTGTTCATAAAGTTCACACACACACACACACACACACACACAAACACACACACACACACACACACACACACACACACACACACACACACACAAAAGCTGAAATAAGAGGCCTGGACAGATGGCTTGGGTCTTTAGAGCACAGACTGCTGTTTCAGAGAACCTGAGTTCAATTCCCAGCACCAGTCAGTACACAGCTACCTGAGACTCAAGACCCAGGGGGCTTCATCTCCTCTAGCCTCTGCCTGTAACTTCAGCTCTAAGAACATTTCCCAATCCAGACATGTATAAACACATAATTAAAATAATAAAAAATAAGCCTTAAAAAAGAAATAAAGAAAATACAGGCAAGATAAAATATTACTGTGAATGCTGAGCAAAACACAGTAGTTTCAGTCTCTTTAAAAGATCTAATCTCACCAGCACTGACAAGGCAGGTATGACGCACACGGTTACCTTGACATCCTCCTCAGCAAAGTATGCTTTTTCCTGACTATGGTTACCACTCTTAGTAGATTAGTCTAGAAACTGGTTGTGCCCACAGCACAGATACTGGCCTCAGCATTTCTTTTAAACTGTGTAACCCTACTCTCAGTTTGTTTAAGAGAGTGTCACATTTTTATGGCAATGCAAGGAAATTCTAGGTTGGGAAGTAACTGCGGAATCAACTAATAATAAAACAATGCAAATCTCCTCCTGAGTTAAACTCTTTCACAATTTCTCTCCCTTGAAAACTTTCACACCAGTTGAGGATTTGGAACATCCTTTTGAAAGAAAGCTTTAAGGAGACAATAGCAAAGAAAGTCTGCACTCTTCCAGAAGGGAGGAGAGAGAGAAGTAGAGAAAGAAGGTGCTTACCTGGCCAGCAGAAAGGGGATGACCACCCTGATATGGACATGTCTACAGAAATATGCCTCTATCCAAGATGCTGCTGCATTCCTTTACTTCCTAAATCCCTGAACTTAGAGTATCAGTCTGCTCAATGCAAAAGAGGTCAGTCAAATCAACAAAGGGCAGGCAGATTCTCACCCATTGATCTACATAGATCACGGAATGGAAAGCAGGAAAGTAAGAACATTACCAAAAGCCAGTGAGCTAAGGGAATTGTACCTTCTGCCGTTTTCTTCTAGAAGGGAGCTTGAGTCTGAGTCCTTTAAAAGCAGATGATGAGATAGTTACACAATTGTAAGGTGTACTGTTGTTCCACCCGCCGCCTGGTATTGTCCTGCTGCCGCGCCAACCCCAAATAACACACAGAGACTCTGTATTTGATATTATACTGTTGGCCCTGTTACTTGTTTTTTATCGGCTAGCTCTGCCTTAATTATTAACCCATTTCTGCTGATCTATGTATTTTCACATGGCCTTCTCTTACCGGGGAGGCAGCTGGCGTTCAGCTCTCTCCAGATTCTCCATCTTGACTCCTCCTTACTACTTCCTATTTCCTCCTTGTCTCCTAGTCCCTCCTATCTTCCTTTCCTATTGGCCAACAGTGCTTTATTATTAACCAGTATGAGAAACATATACAGAATGACATCTCCCATCACACAATCATGAAGCTAATATTTATAGGATAGTCTCACTGACTCTGTAGGTTGAAACATGGCAAGATGCCCAATCACATATATTATTTAGATTTGGTCAATAAAGGTCTTTTGAACCAAAAATTGTGCACTGGGAAGACAGCGGAATCTACCTGTTGGAGCTAGTTGTTTACAGGTAGTTTAACATAGCTGTAAAACCGTCCTAGCATGCAGAGATTGCCTCATCACAGAGGGTTCCTATATTTGCAAACCTAGCTATGACAGTCCATAAGATAAATTTTAGCTCGACCAAATTTTCTAATATTAAAACAATATTCAATATATGAGATTGAATCCCGTGCCATGTACATGTAGGGCAAGAACTGAACACCCACATTTATCCTTTATTATTTATTTATTTATGAGATAAGGTACACTATTATCATCCAGGGTGGCTTTAATCTTTTAACCTTCTTGCCCCAGCCTGCGAAGTAGCTAGGATTACAGTTACCCATCAAATCCAGTTCAGTTTTTTGTCTTTCTTTCCTTCTTTTCTCTCTTTCTTCCTTTGCTAAATACAAAATTCAGAACATTTCAGTTCTGGTTTTCCATTTATTATTTATAACTATGAATATTATCTTCTATTGCAAATATGCTACTAGTAGCTTTTTTTGTGTTTTAATCATATTGACAAAGGGGATGTATTTAACAAATTAAAGAGAATGATCAGTAGCTGATTACTAGGTTTCAGACAAGTTCCATTTCACCAAGGTTATAACCACGTGTCTTGCAACTTCCTGAGTGAGGCAAAATTTAACGTTGAGAAATTTCCGCTGTAAGTCTCAGTTCTGAGAAGTTAGGATGAAATTTTTAGGTACTCCCTCATCTTACACAGAAGTACTATTCCACACCGCCACCAAAAGACTGCATAAATAATTAGCGTTCAGGGTTCAGGGTTCAAACACTCTTGATAAAGTGAGAAACCCTGCTAAATGTATGGGAAGGTTCAGAGATAAGGGGATAGAATTTAAAAAGGGGTTAAAGAATACTAGCAGTGTCTAACTTTGATAAGCGGGGGGAATAAGACAGACGCCAGCCTGATTTTGTTCTACCTTCATCTAACAACTGTGTCCTCTGAGATCTCTGTGGATGTAGACCTGCACACTAATGGTTATGGAGCTAAAGCATCTGCTTTTGAGAACTGTTCCCTCAGGAATGTCTCCTCAAAAGT